AAGGAAGAGGACCAAAAGCAACTTACTCTTCAGAAAGAACAAGCAGCACAAATGGAAGCACAGAAACAACAACTTGCCGTAGAAAAGAAGGACCTAAATAGCAAAGAGAAAGAGTTAGAAAGGCAAGAAGCAGCTCAGCAAGAGTGCATGGAAGTTGGGGATACAATCTTGAAGGAGGCAAATGCAAAGTTGCGAGCTGCCGTGAGGAATAAAGATTTTTAGGAAGTATCGGTTGCTCAAGCAATGATTGAAGCTGCAGAAAAGATCAGTAGTGCTAACAAAGCGATGCTGCAGACAAGGGAGCAACAGCAGTCTGTTTCAGAACGAAAGCAGACCATCATAACACCTTTCTGTCACAGCCTAGCAAGCCAAAATTCAAGAAAACGTAAATGATAAGTTCAAGACTTGAAAATGATTAACAGACTTATTGTACACTGTTGTAGTTTTGTTTGTACGTGAAGTTGATAAGATGTGGATGGAATGTGCTCCTACATCTGTATCCAGTTTTCATGAGAATTTACATTTTTGAAGACGTTAGGTTCGAGGGCATCTTCATTTGATTAGAAACTGTTAAAGCAATCTTATTGCTGTTGTTGTTAAAAAACCTTATTTTTGCTGGGAGTTGAACAGAAAAATGGATGCATCAAGCGAAGGTTTATAGAACTTATATTTAAGTGTTTTCTTACTCATTACAAATAAGTTGCACATTGGATATATAACTATTGTGTATCTAAGTAATATTTCAAACTTATTGTGAGTGGTTCAGTTTTGAAAGTTTTAAGTGATCACTGTGACCATTGAAACTGTGACCATTGAAACGCGTGAAGTAAACCATATGCGCAGTAAAGCCAAAGACAAGATCAAGTTTTCAAAGAAACTCCCCTTTGAAGTGGAATAAATAAGCGACTAGAATATGTAAACTGAATGCTGTTTAACCAAAGGAATTGATACAAATGGTCAACAGGACTATGGAAATCGAATAATTTCTTTACCGCGCAACAAAAGGCACAAAAATAAGTATTTCACGGGTCGCACAAAACACATGAG